ATCCCTACATCAATTAAGATAGACCCATTCCAAAACCCTAAAGAATATTTAGGTCGGCAAGATAAATGGAAATCTTCTATTTATCTGATCAAGTTCCGGAGAAAACGCAAGATCGGCCTTATCAAGAAGGAAGTTTTCCTATTTCAACAGGAGAATGTATCTCCAGAAGACCGACCTTGTCGGGCTACAAATAAAGAAGGCATTCACTTCTCAGAATATAAGATAATCATCCAAGAATCTCCACACTTGGAGAAGACCTTATTCTCTCTAGATTTCATCTATCTAACTCTCTTATTATGAACTACGTTGGCTTGATCCCTTCAAAAGGGTACGTAGGCAGCATTTCTCAAGGTTCAGCTGTTTCTAGATAATCATCCAAAAATCGTCTCTCGAGACCTAGGGCAAACTAAGTAATCTTATTGTTCCTAGTTCTTGATTTTATTTCCATAAACAGTTTAGGTCGGCGTTCTTATTCCGACGACCTAAATGACCGTGTATCTCTCGAGCTCTGGCTGAAACTTAATAAAGATCTCTCTTTAAACCCACAAACTCTCATTCTTCTATAGACCGAATTTGAGTTTTCACAATATATTAATATATAACTATGATAATTTACTAAAATGTGAATATATAATTTTTTATTTTTATTAGAGTTGGAATAATGTTATCGTTTATCTACAATTTTTTTTTACAGCCTTTATCTACAATTTAAAAGTAAAATGTTTAAAGATATCATTAACTTTCTAAACAAATATTACTTTTTTTAAATTATTTAATTCAAAAACAGATAAATTAATAAAATATAAAAGTCCCAATATTATTAATTTATAAAGTTTTTATTGTAATTATATTGATTGATTGACAAATTTTTTTTTTTATAATTATTTAAACGATTAACAAATTGAAACATTTTCCAGCCACTAAGAAAAACAAAAGAAAAACAAACAAATCTTGCAGAGAATTTTGTATATGATAAATCAAACACTGATTCAAAAAAAAATTAAGCAGTTAATATTAGTATCATCATGCTATGGTATTTTACTTAAAAAAGTAAGCAATAATGTTATATGTTATATTCGTCACCTAAGAACCATATATAAAGTAAGTAATAATATCATATGCTATATTTCCTTATATAGTAAATCCGAATAGTAATAATATATATCACAACAATTTTGAAAATTCATCATTGTGATTTTTTCTGATTGATTGGAAATTCGTCATTATGGTTTTTCTGATTGATTTTTGACGAAAATAACATATAAAATAATATATTTTTGTAAAGATTATTATGAATTGTTAAAAATATACATTAAAAATATTTATCTTGAAATATTATATATATTTTCATAATTATTTTTGTGCATGCTATAATTACATTAATATATGAATATAATCAATATAACTTTCTTTTATATGTTCTGATTGATTTTTGAGAAAAATAAATTTTATTTTAAATTATTATGTTGTATATATAAGAATATTTTTTGATGAACTATTAATCAAAATATTTTCTGACAAAAGAAATAAACATTATTAAAGTATTCTATATTTTATTATGAATTTGAGGAAAATAAAATATGATTTCTAATTTTTCTGTTGTATCAATAAAAATATTTCTAATGAATAATTAATAAATTTATTTTTTGAAAAAGGTAGTAAACATTAAAAAATATTATATATTTTGTTATAAATGATAAAAGTAGAAAAAATTAAAAAGTATTATATATTTTCTATGAACTTATAATAAAAATATTTGTAGATAATATTTTAAAAATATTATAGAATAAATTATTTTTCTGTATATTATTATTAGCATTGACAAATTTATTCTATTAAATTATTATTTATATATTATTGCCTTTGAATTTATTTAAAAAATAAACATAACATATGTATGGACCTAAAATATACAATGACATATCATGTAATTAGTCTATTAATTTAAGTCTCTCTAACAAAATTAACTGAGAATGAACATGGAGTTGACACATGAGCATAATGATACACCACTATAAATACTTACAAAAATGAAGTTATTCTCTAAAAATGCTTCTCAGTTAATATATAGGGAATTTAATATTTTATCAAGGGTTGGTTTGGCTGTGACGACAGCAAAAACATCTTTTTATAAGTCACAGACATATGATATTTATGTAGCCCTAATTTATCTTTCGTCTCCGCCAACATGATCTCCCAAGAAGTTGAGCCAAAGAAGAAGAAACCGAAGAAGAAGATTCTTCAGCCACCAACGTTTTCATCACTACCAGACAAAATCACAGAGAATATTCTTGCGAGTGTCTCGAGATGGAAGTACCCTTGGCTTTCTCTCGTCTCCAAGAGATTCCGCTCTCTCTTATCTTCTATGGAACTCTACAAGAGGCGATCTCAAATCGGAGCCAACGAAACATGCCTCTATGTTTGTTTAGACTCGCCCAATCATCCATATCCGAGCTGGTTCAGTCTTTGGCCGAAATGTAATCCAATCAAAACCCGAACCAAACGAAGAGGCAAGCTTAGGTTTAAACAGAATTGTAGTGGAAATATTTTGGTTCTGGTACCTTCCTTTTCTTGCCAGACTCCTCCCATATCCACCGTAGCGGTTGGTTCGGAAATCTACTTAATCGGTGGATTAATAGACGAGCCGCCTAGTTCCTCGGTTCGGATATTAGATTGTCGGAGTCACACTTGGCGTGACGCCCCTAACATGACGGTGGCTCGGAATGTGATGGGAGATATTGACAACTAATCTGCAAATTGGTTTGAGGTGTTTGACATAAAGACTCAGTCTTGGATAACCTTGCCGACTCCTGATGATGGCATAACTGTCACTCATGCGATAGTATGTGTGGTGGTCCAAGAAAAGGTTTATGTAATGGCAGATAAAAACGTCTATACGTACAAGCCCAGAGAAGGTACATGGAAAGCTGGAAGAATGGAAAGGAGTTACCAATTGGTATCTGTTGTGTGTGTGTGATAGACAATGGTATATACAATTGTTGTGAGGACGGATATTGCCATTGGTATGACTTTAAGGGTGGAGAATGGAAAGTGATCATAGGTTTGGAAGAATTGCGTGAGCATCGAACAAGCGGTTTAAAAAAGGTGATTGTGTGCTTGATATGGTTAACTATGATGGGAAACTTTTAGTTTTTTGGGAACATGATGAATGGACCAAACAGGAAATCTGGTACGCCAAGATTTCCTTAGAAACGAGATGCAATGGAAGTGAGGTTTGAGGTAAGGTTGAGTGGGTTGATGTTTTGCTAACAACACCTCACGACTCATATGGATTCTCACACTGTTTAAGCGTTTCGGTTTGATGATTCATAGAGATGGTCAGTTCATTAAGTTGTTTTTTCTTTTTGCTTTGAACATGCCGTTTTGTTTACTGAGACGAGCTTTTGTATATTGGGATTTTTTTAATGGTTTTTCTCTTAGAGTTGGACTTAGTATTGTCACTTTTTTCGTTGAGAGCGATTATACGGATATATTTATTACAACATGTCATTTCTATTACTTAGGTTCAACATTAAACGAAATAACAATTTTGAAGGCACAGTGTGGTGTTAAGAGAAGCCGAGCTTTTCTTCGTTATCATTATTTTGCTTCAATCATATATACTGACATTGTATATTATGTGAATTTGTTTTTATTAGTTTTACTTTATCAAGAATTATGGAGCTATATATATAGTGTATATTCATTTATTTGGGGAAACTTTTATGAGTTATTTTTGTTTCTAAAAATTCAGAACAAAATCTAGAATCTATTATAATTTTCCAGATCTCCAAAGTACATATTCCATTTACGTAAAGACTGAGATTGAGCTCAAAGAGTGGATCTACGATGTGAAGGAAAAGTAAATGGAGTGTTGCGGATGGGTATCTAAGTTTACTATGGTCTACTCTTTAGAGCACATGGAATCAACCATATTTACAAGGTGGATTTTCCAACTACTAATGAGGCTCTTCAAATCTTTTGTATGTATGCTTTTGGTAAAAAAAATGGCCTAAAGATTGTTTCAAGGAGCTTGCTCCGGAAGTTATAACACTTGCTGGTGAACTCCCTTTGGGGCTAAAGATTATGGGCTCCTAGTTTCCGGGAATGTCCAAGCAAGAGTTGAAAATGTCACTACTGTACCAAAGTTAAAGACTGGGCTTGATTTTGATATTTGGAGCCTTTGAAAGAAGATATATGGAGTCGTAGTTTAGGGATACAGAGATACAAGAGGGGCCTCCATGGGTCAAGAGCGTCTCTCGTCTTAAGCTACTCGTGGTGAAGAGATGCAGAAAGCTGGTATCACTCCCACAGGTTCCGGATTCTTTAGTACAGATCAATGCAGAAGGTTGCGAGTCCCTGGAGACTAGAGAGACTAGATTGCTCTTTTCACGATCCAAAGATTATTCTCAACTTTGCTAAGTGCATAAAACAGAATCAAAAAGCAAGCAAGAGACGTTATCATCCAGCGATTAAGTTGAACGAGAGAGGTCTCTTCCTACATCCATGAGATTTAGGGATTGCATTTTGCTGGTTTATAAAGGTGACGATGACGCTTGTGATCTTGAGAACTGGATGGGTAAGCAAATCTGTGTAACGTGTCGAGAAAGATACATGCCTGTTTTAGTGATAATGCTTTGACAAACAAATGTAACAATCAATAGTCACTTTTTTTCTTCCTTTCTTATACAAAAGCAATACTTTTACACGTCCCAAATGATATCTTAATTTTTTTTCAAGAACAGACTTTCACTTGCTTGAATCTGCCTTTCAATGAAATGTAAACAAATAACAAAAGACAAAGAGACAGACAATCCAAAACACTAAATCCACCCAAGAAACTTTGCTAAAAACTGCACAATGACAGGGTGAATTATAAAAACTGGGAGCTGTCTCTATATACATGAGAATTTTAATCAAATGAAAGAATCATAATAGAGACTTAAACTGGGTAATTATAATCAAACAGCTTCTGTCTTCTTTCTTTTGTCTTCAAGAAGTCAGTCATCCTCCTTAGTTGCACACCACTGGTCAGGGACGCACAAGAAATAGGTCTTCATGAACTTTCTGAACCTCGTCTTGTAATCGATCGGGCTAATAACAGTCGGCTGCACATTCTTCGGAACCACCAACGACGATTTCACCCAAGTCTCTAGCTGCTTGTCCCATGTGTATTGCCTCAAGTAGTCAATGATCCCACACACTAGCTCATGACTCTCATCATCTACTCCAACGAGCAACGAATAGTCCATCACGTTTATACTCTGTAACACAATAGAAACTGGACTAAGTGAACATTCATGAAGTAACACAGAGAGAGAGAGAGAGATGAGAGATGATAAAAACACTCACGGTCAAGAAGGCTGTGTCATTATAAACCGCTCTCTGGAGATTTTGTTTTGATGTTTTGCTAACGTAAAGAGGGGATTTGTTCATGTCGTTAACGAAGTTCTGATCCAATAGAACATCTTCAGTGCCATTAGCGATAAACCGAGCATGTAATGCACCTTTAAGATCGTACTGTCGAGTGATTTTTCTGCCGAAACTGAGATTCTCCATGACCATTAGGTCGTGCCTTATCTCTTTCCCGCTCTTTGGATGTCTTACAGTTACCTGTAAACATCGATTAAAGATCCTTCAAACTAAGCAAAATGGTAACGATTAAGTAAAAAAGATGAATATAGAGACAATTACCTGATGGATCCCAAGAACTTTAGCAAGACAAGTCTGGTTGCCTAAATCATAAGAGTCCTTCATGTATTTGAAATACTCAGGAGCAAACTTCACGAACGATTCGTACTCTGTCTTCTTGATCTCTTTCACGATGAACCTATCATCCAAAGTCTTTGCGAACACTGATTTGCTCTTACCACCTTTAGCATCCCATGGCTTACAACGGCTTAGTGAAGCTATATAATCAAGCTCTGAGGAACAACAGCGTCTTCTGAGGTCGCGGAAATCATCTGCGTATAGACAAACGACAGAGTATTTGGGTTTTCCTACTGATTTGAGTGACCCAAAAGTAACAAGAACCTCTGGAGGAGGTAGAGTTTCCAGCCGAGTTGTACTCTCGCTCGAGAAACGAGAAACATCGGGTTGCTTAGAATCTTGATCCTTATCCAAGAACCCTTCAAGAGATCCGTGTATACACCTTGAAAGAGGCAGTCTGTTCTCGGCACTGCTCAGATGGGCCAGAGCGCAAGCGATTAAGCTCGAGAGCTCGTCTTCATAGTCTGATACGATGAAATCATCGTCCCTCAAGGAGATGCGAAGACGAGAACCTTCTTCAGTGATGATCTGGTTCACCGTCTGTAGATTCTCTTGGGTGAAATTGTTAACGTACTCGAACTTCAACAAGTATTCCTTCTCAACATCGACGATGGGCTTGGAACGTAGCTCTTCGAATGGCCGCCAAAACCATTCATCCCACCCTAAGATGTGTGATCCATTAGAGGCAGCAACCTCACAATCCAGTGAATCTCCAGTAACTGGAATTACTTTCTCCGCTTCTTGTTCATTGGTTGAATGGATATTAACAGCCAAATGAGTGTCGAAATGATCGTTGACGGGAGAGGATTGCAAGTCTTCAGGCACAGAAGATTCTTCCTTCTGTTCAATGTCCCCAGCAAACGCATCAGAGATTGGTATTTCTTTGCCTTCCACAAGTGGAACATCTATGCCTCCATTGCTAACAGAATCAGAAGTTTCATATCTGGTCATTCCAGCCTCGGAATCGGTCTTCACACCTTCTTCATTTCTCTTCTTCTCAATGCTTGAAGGTAGCAAACGATCAGATAATACCAGCGACTGCAAACGGTAGTTCCAGATGAGAGCTTGAAGCAGAAGTTCCCACCTCATGCGGTTTAAGCGCAGCAGTTTGTGCGAAACATCATCTATGGTTTTAGCCTTGTCAAAAGAGATCTTGGTGTTTTCCTGTTTTTTGGTTATAATGATGTATCCAAAAAGAGGATAATATAAATAACAATACGCTTGTCTCATGAACTTTAACAAAGATATTTGTATACCGAAAGCAGTTCTTGTAGCAAAGCTAACCTCAAATCCGCGACGCTCTTGCTTCAGCAACTCCTCGATGTTAGAAAGCAATTTGAGTGCACACTGATAGCTAAGACCTGAATTTGAGAACTGTGATCTTAGTCTCTTCAAAAAACTAGTAGCGTCCTCGAACAAGGCTATCCCTCTAGTGAATACCTGAACAAGAATATAAACAATCAGCACATATCATCTTTGTCTTTCATTTCACATTTTTAGGCCAGTTCTCGTCCCAAGCAAAATATAATATTGTTTCTAGCACCATGTATGAGAAACAGAGCTGCAATACAGTTTTACTAAACTTACTTTTTGGAATTCTTTCTCAAGCCAACCAACTTTTATGAAAATGCTAGACTCCAGCTTCATGAGTGGCAAAGAGACAGTATAAGATGTGACTTGGGAGTAACTGAGCATAGCGACCATGGAGCCTAATCTGCAGTTGTATACAAGTTTCAAGATATATTATTAGAGACAATGAAGGCCCTCAAACCAACATCCATGTTAACCAAGAAGGGACCTTCAAGAGAACTAAGCCTTAAACAAGTAAAGTCTGGTATACACTAACCTTAGTATATATGTGAATATCATTATTTCGAAAGCCTATTTTTAGAGTAACATAAATTATATAATTACTTGGTTAGGATATGTGAAGCTACAAAACAGAGCAAAAGACATACCCAAAGAAGTGAAGGAAGTCCCTGTCGAAAGAGTGCCCACAGCTACACAATCTATTCAGAAAAGTTTGCTGAGTAAAGCTGAGCTCCAAGAATTTCCCAAATGACATGCTACGAGCAGCAGTCGAGATCAGCACTCGCTTTGTAGATTTCCGGGTCCCATTCTTTGTCTTACACTTTCCACAACGACTCCACATCCAGATTTTTCCTTTTGCCTCACCAGACAAACATTTTGTGACATGAATCCGATTGATTTGTATTGTTAGCTGCTTGTTTTGATGAGCATAATAGTAAAGATGTGCTTCCGGAAGTTCCTCGCATGTTTGGCATCGGCTTCTCTGCATTATGAACACTTCCCTTAACAAATTTGAGCCACAAAAAGATGTTGTAGCGCCATTCAACATTTAGATTTCTTAATATAAGGAACACAGATTAATCTTGACAAAAAAGAACAAAACAAAAGTTTATCAAAATTTGAAAAGAGAACTAGAGTCAAACCTGATTAAACATATCTCGCAGGAATCTTTCCAAGGGAACATCGAAGTGCTTGTAAAACTTTATGTGCGAAAAACGACTTTGGTCACACATTATTCCCCTGAAGGCATTTCTCTTCGAAACTAAAACCAAAATACTCTCAGACTCCAAGGTGGTCTCAGTATCATTCTCGGTTTGCGACTTGTCTCCATCATCTGAATTCGTGTTTACCGGGAGCCCAGGGTCAAGTAACAAAGGTTGTTCATTTTCATCCTTTTCTTCAGTATCTTCCGCAGATTCCTTTATCGAATCAAGATAGTTGACATTCGATATATCTGTATCTACAGATACTGGAACTGCCTCCGATTTTTGAACAAATCCTAAATATTTACTTACTTTGGCAGACAAAGATGAGAACCCAGTAAAAATAACTGGATTATATGGCTCATGAGAGAAAACTTGATCTCCACTTGATTCCCAGGTTTCAGCTTTCTCACCGTCTGTATCACCATTTATCTGAGTAGATTGTTCGTAGAATCCATCAGAGAAAGGAATATCAACTGCTTCAACGGTAGATTTGCCAGGAGAAGGAGATAGTGGGAAATTTTCTATTTCCGCAACACATGATGTAGCTTCCTTTGCAAAGATGGTTGAGAACATTGTTTGCCGATCAGCAAGGAAAGAAGCCTCCAGGATTAGATGATGTGCCAGTTTATATGAATGTTGTACTACTTCTTTGATCTTTTTCAACTTATCACTGTGGCTTCCTTTTAGTAAAATCTGCAATGTCAAAATCAGAAAATCAGAGGTAAACTGCAAGAAGTTTAAGGTAAAAATGTCACGTATTCAAATATTAAGTATTCATCAGTTGATATTTTGGGGATAAGACTTTCATACAGTGGAAACTACCATATACCCAAGATCATGTAATGCATTCATTACTTATCATACTCCACAATCAATCAAGTACTCACCGTGCAGCCAAGGCGAGTAGGGCAACCCTCTAAAAACATCAGCGTTTTAGTCGGCTTCTTCTCGGCATCACCCACTGCGTTATGCTCCTCGACAATTTTCTCAATGCGAAAGGAATCACAGTGCTTCAACTTCTGACTAGATAGAGAGTCCAATGAAGCAATTGGCGAACCAATGCAGCGAGATATTCTCTGTAGACGGTGAAGCTTCATGTCAAGCACCAGAGTGACACCTCTCTCACGAATAGACGTTTGGATTTCACGTGCAACAGACTTTTCCACCAGCATAACATCAGGCTTGAGAGCTTCTATGATAGCAACAACAGGCGCCACAAACTTCAAGTCCTGTTGACAATAAGATTATCAAGAAAAATTACCAAATGAAAGCTTTCAGACTAGTGATTGCTAAAGTACTTTGCTACCCCCACCTCCTCCATTGATTGTAAAGAAGAAAATCCACTTAATGGCTGTCCCAATACTCCTTCGACTAACATTATTCTAGGACGCTCATACTTGGTTCCCATCTGTTTAAGAGCGGCATGTTTTTTGAAAACCAGGCCCTTGAAAACTTCACTGCAGAAATGAACAATCTTTAGGAGAGTTCACAGTAGACGGAAACTGTATAACAAACCTCAAACAATGCAAAAGGGTCATTAGGTAGTTTGTAATACCTTTCATTCCAAGAACCAGTTGCTATGCATTTCACTTTGATGTACTCACTGGGATCAACCGGTTTTCCATTAATAGTTGGCTTCAGCAGTGAAGCAGCCTCCCAACATAGCCTAGCAACTATCTCCATCCAATTCTCACCTTCTTCCATAGAAATCCCAGCCGTCTTAATAAGTTGGCTCACAATGAACTTAAACTTCAAATCTGCCTCCTCAAGCATTGCTCTTCTGTTTTCTTCATTGGACCTTCTCTTTTTACTACTTTCATCTCTAGATTCCCCTAAAGAACTTGATTTGCCCCACTTAGAGCTATCACAGCATTCATCATCATCGTCGTCATCATCTTCAACATCGGCAACACCTCCTTCTACTTCATCTTCTGGGTTTTCTGGTTCAGGGGGTTCCCATATTGGGGTATCCTCCATTTCACCACTATCATCTTCATGATCAGATAAAAACACCTTTTCTTTCGATTTTTCACCCAAAATGTCTATGTCCCTTTGAATGTCACTTGGCATGCTCTTGGACTTACGCTCTAAGGTATATTGGCGATCCACCTTCTTCTCCTTTTGCGTCGAGTCCACATCATCATGACTGCCATGACTTGAACATTCATCTTCATTTCCCCTGGCATAAATAAAGATAAAAAACCATATCAATAATCTTAATTACCATATGCTGTTTCTACGCATTATCAAATCCAAATTATAAGAGTTTTACCTTTCATACGAGTTTCCATCAACTGAACACTCCCCTGAAGAAAGTTTACATAAAAGATAATGATTAGATAAACATCGAACAAGATTTAGCACTGAACAAGAAATAAGATATAGCAATATACCTGAGAGAGAGCGTTCACTGTCTGACAAGGAATTTGTATTCGTAGTCATCAATGGAGTCTTGCTTCTCGATGCGATGTCAGTCACAAGCTCACACTCCAATTTTCAGAGTATATTTTCTATCATTCTCCGTTTTACCAAGATCTGTGTACAAAAACACGTTTCAACTGGATCAAGAACACGAAAAGTAGCCACCTACTTGAGTCAAAGAAGACGCGTAAATTAACATCTACGCCAATAAATATTAATGAGGAAAAAAATCCTGAAATGGAAAGACAAATATCGACCGACGGAGATATGATTTCGAGCATGCCAAAATAAAAAGAGGGAACAAATCGCGAAGATCTAGGATTTAGGGGAAAACAAAAAAATCAATTCAGATTTTGGATTTTCTGTGAACTGTACAGTACAAGCGAAGTAAATGAAGAACAGGAGAGAAAATCATTTTCCGAATAATCCAAAGTCAACAATCCACGACCCGAATCGGAGCGATTTATCAGTAAAAAAGGTCAAGTCAAACAGGAATCAACAGTGAAATTGATTTCAAATTTCAGTTCGACAAAATTACAATCCACGATCCAAATCGAAACAAAACCTCCGGAAAAGTTCCAGTGGAACACGAATCAACATCGAAATCAAAATTTCAGTTCAACAAAATCGATTATCATCACAATTACCGAAAAAAACAAAAGATGATGAAAATCCGTTAAAGTAAGATTTTCCGTTAAAGTAAGATTTTCGACACAAATCGCTGGAGAAACAGAAAAAAAAAGAGACGAAGAAAAAGCAGGAAACCGAAAAGAATGACTCACCGCGAAAGAAAAAGGAAATTTCCCAGAGAGATTGGGTCTGTTATGAGCTTGAAGAAACCCTAAGAAACTGAAAGATTCTTTTGTGCCTTTAGTGATAAACAAAGCGAAAGAGAATAGAAGTTTATTGGTTTCTTCTTCCCCAAAATGAAACGAGTCCACGAAGAGTTGTGTCGACGGTGGAGAGAAAGAATGAAGACGAAGTTTGAAGAAGAGAAGGAGAATATTTCATTTTATTCTAGTTAAACCAGTGGGCTCCACTTCTATATCTACCGTTCTTATGCATAGTTGATTATTTTGTATTTGTTTTAATAAAATAATTTGTTTTCTTTTTTTTTGACATTTTATATTTTTATTCTGGTCTCGGCCTTTAAAACTGTTTCCATATGTGAAAAGACATGAGAATTTTATTTCCTTACCTTTGGATTGTAATAAGGATAAAAGACCAAAATGATGTTATAAAAAAGAATAAAATACCAAAATATATTCACAACTCTATTTATGAAAATTTCTATTATTTTTTAATAATAATTATAAAATAGAAGCCTGTTGTATTCTTCTAATAAGATTAGTTTAAAGCTATTTTTTTAGTACTTTGCATTCTATAACAATGAAAAACATAAAACTTTTAAAAAAAACTCATTTCATTGGTCAGTGGACAAGAATCAATTTCAATAATTGTGGACAAATTTTTTTTTCAAAGAATATGTGTATGGTTTTATCATTATTTTTTTTAAACTGCTAGAATTAATATTTACTCTAATAAAATAATCTTTTTAAGAAAAATTTAATTTATCCAGTGACATTTTATACGATTATTTTGTGCCCCACAATTTTTTATGTAGACGTTTAATCTCTATAAAATGGATTCATATTTCTAGCATATAACTATTTATTTATTATTTTAGAATGTTATATTATTATTCAATGCAATTTTTTTTAATTATATCTATATAAAAACATGGATAGGTTCAATAATCAATATTCCCTTTTTCATTAATTTTTCAAAAGTCATTATAAACTTTATTTATAAAAAAGTGCTACTCTTTCACTCATTTATTTTCTATATTTTTTAATTATGTTTTAACAGTTCTTATTTTTTTATAAATAAAATTTTGTCATTCATCTAATTTATCTGACTTTCTTATCTTTATAAATTATAGCTGCTTTGTTTGTCCATTGTGTGTTGTATTGTATGCCTCAACTAAGAGAAAAACAACATATTTTCAAAATTCGGTGAGTTCTTTGCACTTTTTTTCTATTTTATTAAACTTTACCAAATCTAATAATTAAAGAAAAAATATTCTAATAGATGATGGAAAACGTTTCTCAAAACAAACAAAAATTAGTGAAAAGTGGTCAGAAACTCACGTGAACAAAGAAGATTAATATGTACAATGTGTATGTCGTTTTGTAATCATATGTGTTAGTTCAGATTCATAACGTAAAGAATAATAGTGTAGTACAAAAATTTGGATGATATGAAAAATGCCAGTACAAATGAAAGTGATATAAAAGACAACAATATGAGTAATGATGGTATAATAAGATAAGAATAGAAACGTGAATTTCGATTGATAACATTGTAACGGTGCAAATAATATATATTATAATAAAACAAGAAAATATATAAATTGCAAAAAGCCAAAGAAAATTATTTAAAATATATAAAATTAAACTAGTATCAGAAAATAGCATATCATATTTTATTTTCAAAAATGTTCAATCACCAACACATTTAAGAAATAAAATTATAGTAATAGTAAATTCAAATGTAAGAAAAAATAGAAGAAGATCATTCAAAATTTGAAAGAAAATAGATAATCTATATTTTTTTGAAAATCGATAATAATAGTTTAAATATTAAAAAATGATATATAAAATAGTGATTAAATTTATGAAATACAGCACTTAACAACCATAAATTCATTAATCATTATACAAAAACTAAGTATGTTTCACACGTGAATGACACATCAGCATTTTTCTACATGACATATCAACATTTTTCTACATGACACATCAGCATCCTTCTACATGACACATCAACATTCTTCTATATGACACATCATCATTTTTTATGACACATCAGCTTATTTGTTTAGTGTTTTAAAAAAAATATATTAAATTTCTTCTATGGTCAAAATTCAATTAAAACTAAATTAATTTTTTTCTTTGGTCAAAACTCAAATAAAACTAATAATATTTTTTATTTACATGTATATTTTTTCTATATTCTGGTTTATTTATGAATTTCTGACTTTTATTTCGATACCTTGTATTTTTTATAATGATATATTGGTTAGGTTGATATGTTAGTGATAGGTTGGTTAAAAAATAGAAATATTAATTTAGAACATTTTAGTAAGTTTGACATAAAAAAACTCAAGTAAAACTTTTTTATGGTAAAAAAATTAAATCTAAATCTATTTTCTTATGTGGTCAAAACTCAAATGAAACTAATTATATTTTTTACTTATATGCTCATTTTTCTATATTCTAAGTTATTTATAGTGCTGGATTTTTTACTTGTATTTTTGATGTCTCCTATTTTTTATAACGATAGATTGGTTAGGCTGATAGGTTAGTGATATAGGTTGATTAAAGAAAAGAAAAAAACATTAATTTAGTATATTTGAGTAAGTTTGACATAAAATTGAGATTGGCTAATGGTTTGTTCTTCTACCTCACAAATTATAGTGTATCTTCATACTATATACAGATTATTGTGTATTATGGTATTATAAGATTGATTTTTGTTTTTCTATTTGGCTGGAATATTTATTTACTTAAATTTTTTATTTCAAAGAAAATTATAAGAATCAATTCGCCAAAGAATATTTATTTACTTAAATTTTTAATTATAAAAATAAGAAAATTGATCGTAATAAGTTTATCTATTTAACTAGAAAAGTTACTTATTAAACTCTTAATCATAATAGTTAGTATTATGTATATACATTATAGTATTTGTGGATTCTCATTTTTTATGATGCTCAAGATTTTCCACATATAGTTTTAATGGAAGAACTTAACAGTTTTTTATAGTATATGAAGTGTTTAATTAATTTTATTAAAGATATAGAGGTTGATAAAAAATTAACCAAAATCACTTTAAAAAAACAAAATTCTACGGCTATTAAATATAAAACATTAAATTTAAATTTAAATAAAACTAAAATTAAATTATAAATATCTAGGTAAAATATTAGCAAGAGAATTCACACATTTGTGTAAGTACTCATCTAGTTAAATGTCAGCTATTTGTTTCTGCACAACACCGATCCATATGCGCATCATATGTAGTTGTTTCTGCCTCTTCAATCTTATTTATCAAATGTATTTTCTGTTTACTAATTTTCTGTGTTTCTACTTTGTATTCTTTTTTTATTGTTAAAATCAGTATCTAGGAGTTCAACAAAAAAAAACAATATCTAAGACATTTGAAATAAACTTGTTGTTGCAGGATAATATCTTAATTCAATTTCTACCTATACTAATGTCATTGCAATATGCGAGTTATCAATGTAAATGAGCAATGTAAGACAATAGGAATACAACAGTTCACTTAATTCAAGTCAAACCAGAATAAAAGGGTGATCAAATTTTAACTAATCAAAACTAAGCAATGAGAAATTCGAAGTATGCAAATCAATGAATAAAAGACAGAATCTAAGATGGGGTTATTGAATTAGAGGGGGTTAGAACAGAATAGTAATGCTTCACAAATCATCACATAGTGCTATTTCCTAGGCATAGAATAAACAGTTATAACTAGCCCAATTTCTTTGTTAAGCACTTACTCAAAAACTAATTCTTATTAGTGAACAAATGATTAACAAGTATTTAAAGCAGAAATTCAATCTTATAATGCCAAAATGCTCCTTAGACATTTAATTTCTTAGGCTAAGATGAACAAATCTTCTAAAAGGCTAAACAACATTTCATCAAACACTTATTAGGCATAAGAGAAAGCAAAGATACTAAACAAACTTGACCAAAGCTAATCTAGTGTTAAGGATATCTAAAAGAGAGGAGACAATCATATTAAGCACAATACATTACTAATGTAATCCTAAAACCCCTCTAATCTATTCCATCTTAAACCTTAAAAAGGACTACTCACTAGCCATAATCAAAACCACAAATTCCAAAGAGAAATAATGGCTATGCATGATTAGAAATCAGATTAAACAAGAATAGATTAAGCGAAACACAAAAATTCACTAAATCAAACAAGAG